TTGTTTAAATCATACTTATAGTATTGATGATATTAATGTATTGAATATGCATTAGTGTACAGAATTATTTAAATGTGATATTCTATTTTAATTATGCTAATTTGGGGAAATTCATTCATTCACTGAGACTTATTGATTATGCTAAATTGAATTGTTTGGGTTTCTGATGTTAGGTATTGTTTGTGTTTTTCTAAAGGTTTTTTACCTGTTTGCTGTCCTGAACTGTTCTGCTGTTCTGCTGACCTGTTCTGCTGCTTTGCTCTGCATCTGCACCTGCATCTGCTTTTGCATCTGCTTCTGCTGTTGGCTGCTTATGCTCTGATGTTATAAAATAAACTTCACAATAAAAGAAGAAAATTTTAAATAGACTGAGTAAATTCCTCTGCATATCCTCAAGTTGTGGGTACAACCCCCTTTCAGCGTGGGGGAAATCACCAAATTAAGAAAAACGCTCGACAGTATCAATGTGTCGTATTGTTTGTTTGTAAATTGAGATGTAAAAAGACAAGATCAACCTTTATTCTTCTCATAGTTGTAGTCATAGTTGTACACATTACAGCACATTACAAAGATAAAAAGGAGCACTCAGGTTACACACATCAAACAAAGATAGATATTTAGAGAAATTACAATAATACAGCTAATAAACTCTGGAGCTGTATGTGCACTCCCTAAGAATGTTATCAATTATATAATATAAATACTACAAATGTTAAGACCAAGAAAAAAAAATGAAAAAACAGCTGAGTACTGATTTTTATAAATTCATTTGCATTAAGGCTGACCAGGGAAGTGCTGCTACTTTGACTGTGAGGCCCCCTAGTGACTGGTAGGGTCTTGCATTTGGATACTGTATTTTTACAATAACAGATCTGTGTCCATGAAAATTATTCTTGCAAAATACATATTTAAAATTCTGGCAAGAGACCATCTGTTGGCTCTTGTCTAGAGTGTGAAAATTATATGTTTAGTCTTTGAAGGCGTCTCAGTCCCAACCCTCTCAAAACACTTCCCTTCAACTCTAAAAATAATTAATTTTCTATCCCCACATTTGCCTATTTCTCATTTATCATGAGGTAATGTGTGGCATTGGCTTCTAGAGGCTGAACTTAATTGATAGGAGAAATACATTTGCGTCAATCTTGTTTTGGTTCATGCAAAGGGCTTTCAGTGATTTCATTTGCAAATTACCATTGGGAATCATTCAAATGACCATTGGGAGTCATTCAACACATAATGCAAATATTTTCATAAGGTAAGTGATATATCATACTTTTACTTTTTCAAGGCTGCTTCTAGTAACTCTTTCAATCAATTTTTTTGATTTATACATGAAGGTGATCGGAAGATACATCTCAGCGGACTACCTCAACAGACAATGTTATATTCTACACACTATTGTTTCATGTCCCCTTCCTTAAACACCCCCATTTCCCCTATTAAAACACACAAAACTACATACTGTAACAGGACAGAGAAATTCTGCCCATGAGTGACTCATTGGCACCTGAAGTACAGTTGGTCCTGACAGCCAAAGACAAACAGGAAAGAGGCACATTGTTTTTTTAAAAATCTATTTTATTAAAAGTGTGCCTTTTACAACCATTAGATACTGCACACAATACCCTATATGTTTGGGTTTGCTCAAATAGCACATGCTATTGGTTCCAGTGCTAAAATAAACAAGGCAGGAGAGACTGGGCAACCCTGCTTTAGTGAAATAGTCTAAGAGAGATTATAGCTGAACACATTGTCACTAGAATTGCTTCATTAGAGATATTATTGTTATAAAATACATTGTTAGAACTAGTGACGTTAGTAGTACTGTATATGTCCTGGAGACTTTTGTATAGCTCAATACTAAACCCATCCTCTCCTGGCAAGTAAAAGAATTTGAACCCCAGTTTCAATTGCTGCATGAATGACAACTACTTGCTGCATGAACGAAGCTTCCTGCACGATGAGAAGGCTTGAAGCAGGGCGATGCTTGATTTCAGCAAGGCAGGGTTGGCAGCTGAGGGTGATTGACTGATGCTGTAGCCGTGCAACAACTGTGGGAGGAGGGCAGTCAGCTTCTATCTTCCAGACTGAACCTCCGCTTTAGCTTCATTTATCCTGTCTAGAAACCAACATATATTTCCTGAGAACTAACTATGGTGAAAAACATTGTTTTGTTTATTGACCCTAAAATAACGAAACCTACTAGGGAAATTTGACTTGGAAGCGACAGTGGAGCTCAATGGCGATTAGATTTACACAAAAGATTCTCTGACGCAGTCCTGTGTTATTCTTTTTAAACAAACATATAAATGAACACCTGCCGGCAAGGTCAACAGCAGATTAAAGTAATCCCATGTTTCCTACAAATAATGGAAAGTAACCAGGGCTTAATCAAATGGCTATTTGATATTAAGTAAAATCAAAATCTGCACAGTGAATGGTTTTTTTGGTACCAAAAGTTAACCACTAAAAATAATGGTTAACTGTTAATAATTAACACATTGACAAGATTGTTTTGGTACAATTAGATCTTCCTGATTGGAATAAAAGCCATTTCACACCACAGCCCCCAAACGGTGTGAAAGGTTGGCAAGTTTTTGATCCCACCACTCGGCATCCTCATGTGGATGCTCCGGGCGCTGCACTGTGTGACCTCTGCTTCTGACACAGGCCCTAGTGGCACTAAAGGATGGGTCAAAAGGAGAAGACAAATTTCAAATGTACAAAGTTACAGCCATTTCTTTTCAGCAAGTCAATCACAGACGCATAAATGAATGCTCAAACAATCTACATAAGTCATGCACCGGAATCCTGTACGTTTATTTTTTGTATTATTCCTACCATGAACAAAATTTGACAAAAACCCATACTATGTCTATAAAATAACATCTGCCTTTGGATTTTATTATCGCAACTTTTTCCTTTCTCCCCACATTTCATGACGCAGCTATTTTCCAACCAGAACTACCGAATTTTTGCACACACATTTTGGATTGGTCAGGCAGCTGAGGCAGGAAAACAAACAGTAGGGCCAATGCTCAGTCACAGACGAAGAAAAGTTTTTCCTCACAGTTCCTGTTCTCCAATGCTCCTTGTGGGTTCAATGCTCCACAACGCTCATTGACCGGACACTGACTGATGACGTGTTTTTCAGGTTCTAAAGGGCCTCCGCTGACCCACATCCACCGGTCTCCAAGGAAACGCAGGCCTGTCCACACCAGGCTCAAACCTTCTCTCTGCATTTGGTTCTTAATAAGAGATACTTCATTGTCCCAGGGTAATTCAGTAAGGTTTGCTCCTTTGGTCTTGCAGTGTTCAGATGCTCTCTCCCAGGATAAGTCTTTCTTCACTATGAGCTCACAGCAGTAAAATGGGAACATCTGTGTTTTAGCATAGTCATTCCACAGTCCATCACCGTTCATTTTAACTGCGTCCTGCTTATCCCCCCAATAGTTTGGTTGATCTTTATCCCAGTTTGTGTATGTTGTCAAACCTGCTCCAGACCACATCCACTCCTCTCTGATCCTGTTTACAAGATACAGGCCAATCCATCCTTCTGTAGTAGCAGGTGTTAACAGTATAATTAGGTCCTGATCCGTTTGACTGTTGATTAGAGCAAGATCGGTGTAAAAGGTTCTGCAGTGCACCTGAGCTTCAGTCCAGGATTTGGATTCTGCGATATACAGGTATTTCCCAATGATTAAACCAAAAAGAGTGGAGATGAACATTGTGCAAAAAGGCACAACTAGATCCATTTCTCTATTGTTGTGTCTCATGTGGCTCTTCCTGATCATCTGTGTCCAGGTTTTGCCAAGTGAATTTACCATCACCTCAAGAGTGAGGTGACTAACACTGTAGGTTACAAGATGCAAACAAGGTCAAATTCAAATACTAAAAAAAGTACAGCTTAGTAAGGATGTAAATTAACATTTGCAAACACATGCAAGCCTCTAGGACAAGTTCAAAAGGCTCATGAATTTTTATTAATTGCACATTTTAACTACCTCTATTACATTTTATTTTGTTATTTTATATATGTTAATGTATCAATGTGTCGTATTGTTTGTTTGTAAATTGAGATGCAAAAAGACAAGATCAACCTTTATTCTTCTCATAGTTGTAGTCATAGTTGTACACATTACAGCACATTACAAAGATAAAAAGGAGCACTCAGGTTACACACATCAAACAAAGCTAGATATTAAGAGAAATTACAATAATACAGCTAATAAACTCTGGAGCTATATGTGCACTCCCTAAGAATGTTATCAATTATATAATATAAATACTACAAATGTTAAGACCAAGAAAAAAAAATGAAAAAACAGCAGAGTACTGATTTTTATAAATTCATTTGCATTAAGGCTGACCAGGGAAGTGCTGCTACTTTGACTTTGAGGCCCCCTAGTGACTGGTAGGGTCTTGCATTTGGATACTGTATTTTTACAATAACAGATCTGTGTCCATGAAAATTATTCTTGCAAAATACATATTTAAAATTCTGGCAAGAGACCATCTGTTGGCTCTTGTCTAGAGTGCGAAAATTATATGTTTAGTCTTTGAAGGCGTCTCAGTCCCAACCCTCTCAGAGCACTTCCCTTCAACTTTAAAAATAATTAATTTTCTATCCCCACATTTGCCTATTTCTCATTTATCATGAGATAATGTGTGGCATTGGCTTCTAGAGGCTGAACTTAATTGATAGGAGAAATACATTTGCGTCAATCTTGTTTTGGTTCATGCAAAGGGCTTTCAGTGATTTAATTTGCAAATTACCATTGGGAATCATTCAAATGACCATTGGGAGTCATTCAACACATAATGCAAATATTTTCATAAGGTAAGTGATATATCATACTTTTACTTTTTCAAGGCTGCTTCTAGTAACTTTCAATCAATTTTTTAGATTTATACATGAAGGTGATCGGAAGATACATCTCAGCGGACTACCTCAACAGACAATGTTATATTCTACACACTATTGTTTCATGTCCCCTTCCTTAAACACCCCCATTTCCCCTATTGAAACACACAAAACTACATAACAGGACAGAGAAATTCTGCCCATGAGTGACTCATTGGCACCTGAAGTACAGTTGGTCCTGACAGTTCCAGGCCTCCAGCACTCCGTCTTCCTTCACAGCCGCACAGCGATGATTCACTGGACACTTATCCAGGGACCCTCCATTGCTCCAGACCTCAGTCCCAACCGACACCCAGCTGTCACCAAGGAAGCGCTGGTTCGTCCACATGCGTTGCACGCCTTTCATGCGCAGAATTTAGTTTGTGACAACAGGAGAGAAACTAGAGAGGCTTGTGTTTGACTGTCGACAGAGTTCCAGAGCATTCTCCCACGACATCTTCGGGTGCATCACATCCAACTCAAAGCAGTAAAATGGTAAAGGAACTGTTCCATCAATGTCATTCCATTTCCCATTAGATTTGATTTGTACCTTAGTCTCCAAAACATTATCTGGTTGACCTTGTTCCCAGTTTTGGAAGGTCATGGGTCCTCCTCCAGACCACTGCCACAGGGATGAGTTATCAGGATCACGATGAAGACCGATATACCCTCCTCTTTGGTTGGGACTTGTTTCTATGATGTTATCATAATCTTCCTGACTGTTGGCAAAAGAGAGATCGGTATGATGGGTTTTGCAATAATTCTGGGCTTGGATCCATGTTTTTGGCCTAGGAAAACGAATGTTTTTTCCAAAAACACCAATCAAAGCTGTGGTCAAAAGAAGAAACAACTTTGCACCCGCCATAGTCATAACCAGCCTCTGACTGAGGTCGAGCTCTGTGGAAGGGGAAAATAATATGCAAACGTCTGTTTATGAGCATGACAGAAAAAACAAATGCAATAATATGACATAAGACAGGATCAGTTGGTTTCTTTTTACATAGTTTGATTATTTTGACTGTGAATGAATGAATGAATGAATGAATGAATGAATACTTTTATTTCGAGCCATGTCAGACAAGAACAAGGAATAACAGCAATACAACTGAATAGAAAAACAAAACAAATAAACAATAAATAATAAATAACAAAAAGTCAGCTCGAAAAGGAGTGGGAAGAAGTTAAAACTTTTAAACTCCCACCCCCTATTAATTATTCTAATTGAATTAACTTAAATTATGGTTGCTATAGCTTAGCTTAGTCAGTGGTGCAGTTATGCAACAGTGATATTCAAGTTAATATGCCCTTGATTTATACAGTATATGTATAATAAGTTTATATTCTTGTTACCTTAATATTTTATATGAATTTAGGTGTTAACATCATCATCACCACATATCCATATAATTTTCATGTTTATAATTTTCATTATCATGTATATTGTATGAATTAAATAGGATTATAGAATATTGTATATTTACTATTTAATAAATTATTACTGATCACTAGTGTTATACGTGAGTTAAATTTGATCATTGGTGCTGATGGGAGCAAGCTTGTATTTAGCTGGTGTTTTATTTATAAAGGGAGTCTCTGCGTCCACGGATCGGCCTCTAAAGGGAGCAGCCTGTGAGCTGCAGATCTTTGTTACGTGTCCTAATCTGTGCATTAAAAGAGACAGTATGTGGGGGTCCTCTGCCAGAGGGTTCCTCCAGCAGCAGAGCCCCTCTGCCTACCCTGTACTTTGAGTTCTGTGAGTTCTGTGAACATACTCAAATTGTAATCTCTGGCTACCGTCAGCACCAAAGCTTCAACCAGGATTCATTTATTTCTTTTCCAACAATAGATGATGGATTGATATGTTGATGTAATGACGCCCATAACAAAAATAATAATTTCTATAATAATACAAAAATAGTGACAATCAAAAATAAAAATAAAAAATACCTTAAAGCTGCACTAACTGACTTTATTTTTGTATTCATTACGAAAATGCTATCCATGTCCATGTAGTGCATTGGGATATACATCATTTTGAAGAAAAAGTAGCGCAGATTTGTGCTGGCCTGACATTATATTTTAGATCGAGTTTTGATGAAACAAGGAAGAGAATGTGTTTCGGGTCGCGGATTGTGACCAATAGCAGCGCACCACTAGCCCCCACTTTCGTGAGAAATCTACAGGTCTCCGTTAGCATAGACGGCTGAGTTAGCACAACAAGCGGCGGAGCTAACCTGAAACTTTGTGTGTCTTCGTCACCGGTTACTGCTTACACAGCAAGACAGCCATCCAAAAGAAAGTCCCGTTCCTCCGCGCTTCCCGGTTCTATCGTTCTATGGTCACGCCATCCACGTGCAAATCCATATTTGTGTATTATCCATATTGGGATACGCTAACTCCGTCCCAACAGTGGGTGTGTGTGGGGGGTGATAGCTTCGTGGGTGCGGGGAGGGGAGCAGAAAGAGCGAGGCCAGCGAGTCCGCGGCTTCAAAATCCCAAAGTCAGTTAGTGCAGCTTTAATAACCCCAATAAATGCCCTAATATAGACACATCATATTATTATTATTATTAGACCGTATTATACAATAATAATTATAATAGAAGAGTATAGTAACAGTATAGGACAGTATAGTAATAATAGCACATATAATATATAGTTATATAATAATTATAATAGAGCAGTATAGTAATAATGCTAATAGTACATATAATATATGATTTGGTTGATGAGATCAATTTTCCCTTTCAAATAGTTTAGAATTATAACAATTTAAACCCCCATTCTCACATTCCTGTATGATGAAAATACCATTTTTTTATATGCTGATTTGAACAGATGGATAGTTGGACATTGCTTGAGTTCGACACACAATTTGTTCCAAAGTTTCACTCCACACACAGACACACACAAACTTTTCCTTGTGGTTCTCACAGCATGTATTTTGAAGTTCCCGCACCCCCTTAGATTATAACACCCTTCTCTGTGAATAAAGTGTTTCTGGATATTTGAAGGCAAAACCATTATGTTGGCTTTAAATAAAAGTTGAGCTGTATAAAAATCTACTAGATCAGTGAGTTAGATTATTTTAGACTGCAGAAATAAAGTATGAGTGTGATCTAGATATCCTGCCTTATGAATTGTTCTTATGGCGCGTTTCTGAAGTACAACCAGGGGATGAATTGAGCATTTGTAGTTATTGCCCCAAACCTCTACACAGTATGTTAAATATGGCAAAACTAGTGAACAATATAATAAATGTAATGCTTTATGATTTAGGAAGAATTTTGATTTATTAATGATCGAGATGCTTTTGGAGACTTTGCTTTGTATGTATTTTATATGTTGTTTCCAGCTTAATGTGTTGTCAATAGTAACTCCTAAAAATTTAATCTCTGTTACGGTATCTAAAGCCATCCCATCTATATGTATAACCGGGCCTAGGTTGCTTTTGTATTTACTGAAAAACATAACCTTTGTTTTGTTTAAGTTTATGGATAATTTGTTAAAGTCCATCCATGTCTTTAGTTTGGCTAATTCCATGTTAATGGTAGACACTAAATTAATATGACTGTCATTTGAGTAAAAAACATTGGTGTCATCTGCAAATATAACTAGTTTCAATAACTTGGAGACTCTAAATATATCATTGATGTATAAATTGAATAATTTTGGACCCAAAACTGATCCCTGTGGTACCCCGCAGCCAATGTCCAAGTACCCAGAAGTAAACATACCCATTTTCACAAACTGTTTTCTGCTTGTTAAATAGCTTTGGATCCAACTTAAAGCCACGCCCCTGATACCATATCTGTATAATTTTTTTAGTAATATCTCATGATTAATAGTGTCAAACGCTTTTTTTTTATCAATGAAAATTCCAGCTGCATGTTCTTTTCTGTCTACACTGTTGGTTATTTCTTCTACTGCTTCGATTATGGCCATGGATGTTGATCTTGCAGCCCTAAAACCATATTGACTTTCATCAATTAAATTATGTTTATCTATAAATTTCTCTAATCTACTGTTAAAATTTTTTTCGAGGATTTTTGAAAATTGAGGGAGCAAGGCGATTGGTCTATAATTAGTGAAAAGGTGTTTGTTCCCATTTTTGAATATTGGTATAATTTTTGCCAGTTTCATTTTATTAGGAAATTGCCCTGTTTGAAAAGATAGGTTACATATATAAGTTAACGGTTTGACGATTCCATGTATAATTTGTTTAACCAGTCCCATGTCAATATCAAAGCAATCAGTAGATGATTTATTTATACAGTTGTTGATCACATCTATTATTTCCACTTCAGTTACTCCAGATAGAAACATTGTTTTTGGATTCATTTCTATCTGAGCCAAAGCAATTTCCTAGTCTGTGACCTCCTGTTACTTACGTGGCAATAAAAATGATTCTGATTCTGATGCAAAAGTGCATTACCAGTGTTTTTCAGTGTCAAAACACAGCATCATAAGCGTTAAAAAGAAAGTCTTCCATCATTTTTAAACCAACGTTAGTAGTAGTAATAGTCATTTTATTTTAGTCAATAACATCAACATAATCCATAAACTTTCTTGTTTAAGTCATAAAAGTTCTGACTGAAATGGTTAAAGCCGAAGTGTTTGACCACTTATTTTTGCCTAAACTTTTTAACAAATTAAAAACACAACTGGCGTCAGTTCGCAAAACGGGTATATAAAAAATACAACTCATAATTTATCATTTTTTTATTTGCACATTACATTTACTTTTTCTTAGTTCATCAATTTTTATATCATTCTACCTTCTTATAATTGTCTGTTACACATTCTTTGAAAATTCTTTTAAATGCTTTTAATGTTGTGGTTCTTTTAGCACGTTATCCAGACTGTTCCAGAGATCTACTCCTTCAACAGAAAACATGAACATTTCCTTTAGAACAGTGGACAGTTTGAAAATACATTTTTAGATATTGATGTACCATTAATCAACATTCTTAAGATATCGTGATTCCTAAAAAGAGGCTTTCATCTCTTTTGGTTAAATTAAGGTTAGGTATCATAAGAATTTCTTTAAAAATGAGTTGACCTGACCCAGAAATGGACAATAAAGGGCTTGAAAATGAATGAGTTATTTTTTATACATGCCTTTATATCTATACTTTGCTTGTTTGCACCATGAGCAAACGCATACTCAGAGTTAGAGACTTCTTGTTACTTACACCAGGAATACGATAATTCTGATTCTGATTGTCCTTTGTGAGGCCCAGAACCTGTTTTTGGATGTTGATGTCATTTGGTTTCTTTATTTCTTCTGATCTTTTTTAGTTGACCTATGCTAATATGTAAAATGTTCAAATGACGAGAATATAAAATAAGAAAATAAATGAAAAGCATGACAATTTAATCAGATACAATAAAAGAACTTTAATTCATCCCAAAGTGATGACATTTTAAGTGTTACAACTCACAAACCAGAAGAGTAGGAATACAAGTACCACTCAAACAAAAGAAATATTTAGATTAGATTAGATTCAAATGTTGCTAACAATGCTAATGCTAACTATTTTTAATAGTGTTCAATTTGTGTTGGTATACCAATGATTAGTAATCAGCAGAAACTAAACAAACATCTGTGCACTCATTCACAGATGAAGGGGAGTTCCTGTGCACAGTCTGTGCTCTGCAACAGGCCGTCTGAGTACAAAGCTGCACAGCGGTTCTGCCCTGGACACTCCTGGAGCTTCTCCCGTGTCTCAGACTCTAGTTGGCGGCCACTGACCCACTGCCACTGGTCTCCAAGGAAGCGCAGACCAATCCACCCCTGAACCACATTTTTTCTGTCCATTTCACCTGCTGCCAGAGTGAGTTTGTCCCACGTCAAACCAAGGAAGTCATTTGTTTTACAGTGTTTCATAGCTTTCTCCCAAGGCATAGGAGTCTCCACCACTAAAAGGTGAATACAAAAGAAAGACAACAACTTGTCTTCCCAAAAATCGTTCCATCCTTTGTCAGACTTTATGACAACAGCATTTTGTTCACCATCTAAGTTATTAGGCTGACCCTGAGACCAGTTTTGATACCTCATCTCTTCACCTCCAGACCACTTCCACAGAGTTGAGTTCTGAGAGTCTCGATGCAGACCGATCCATCCTGATGGACCTGCAGCCAACAGGAGTTTATTATCTCCACGACTGGCGACCATTGCGAGATCAGTGTAGCAGATTCTGCAGGCCTCCTGAGCATCACTCCATGTCTTGTTTTGATCAACAACATGAATGTATTTCCCACAAAGTCCTTCAAAAACTCCGAAAAGAATCGTTAAGATAATAATTTCCATGGTAACTTTTCAAATCAACAGCAAGAAACACAGAGAATCTTGGCACGTGAAGGGGTTTGTGTCGTGGCTGATTTGGTTTATTTCATTTGTCATGCAAAAATGTATGTAAATCAGGAATGTTTTCATATGGACAACCTCAAGGATATATGTCAGTGTAACATAGTTATTAGAGGACAATTAAATCCATGTAAATTGTGGACACAGCGCCATCTTCTGGCGTTCGCCATACCTGCACCCTTAGTTCGCTCGGAAAGTCCTGAGTTCTTTCACTGTCTGGAGAACTCGAGACGAGGTAACATGTCCGTGAATTTGTGTGGACAGAATTATTAGTTTACTCATGTGTAGCCATTGAAACGCTGAGCTAGTGATTAATTGTTTTGTAGTATTCAGCTGGTGTATATTTACAGAAGCTTGTTAGGTTCATTTGTGAGTCTTTTTTTTTTTTTCCGCTGGTATCATGTTATTTCATGATACCAATTTATCATGTTATTTCATGATACTTTCATGAAATAACATCATGTTATTTCATGATACCAATTTATCATGTTATTTCATGATACCAATTTATCATGTTATTTCATGATACCAGTTTATCATGAAATAACATGATACTGTAGATACAGAAGAAGAAGAAGCTGTCAGCTTCTTCTGATAAGTTGTGCATCATGAAATAACATGATAAATTGGTATCATGAAATAACATGATATCAGCGGGGGAAAAAAACACACTCACAAGTGAACCTAACAAGCTTCCGTATATATTTAGCCAAAAATGTTCTAGAAAAGTTTTTCTGTAAGATAATTTATTTAACCGTGTTTTTCTACCGGAGAACCTAGCTTTGTGTGCGGCTAACCGATGTCCCTTTTACAGAACGAGACAGCACAGAGCACATGAGAGTCCACTACCAGTTACTCAGTGTATAATGTTATCTGTGCAGGTAATAAAACACCACTTCTACCACAAGCCCTAAAGCAGGGGTGCTCACACTTTTTCAGCATGCGAGCTACTTATAAAAGGATCAAGTCAAAATGATCTACCTACTACAAAAATGCAAATCATATATTTCAAAAAATATTCTTTATATCTACAATGTATGTTTATGTACATGCAAAACCCCATGAGCCAATATAGCACAACACAACACAATTACCTATGTACATTTTTTGTCATTACCCGTTTACTCTTATGACTTGCACTGAATTGAATCGGCCAGGGATGCATAGTCCGGAAAATTGGTGGTAACTCGCTGACAAGTTTGTCGTGGTTTAGCTTTCCTGCACTGAGCGCGGTTGTTTGCGCATGTGCAGTCACCTAAGTGTCAGTAAAACATTACTGAGTAAAACACAAATGTCATTTGACTGTGGTGCCATGTCCATGTGCCATGCCTGGTTTTTTTTTAATCCAAATATTTCCCCTCCTCTGTTTATAAAATAATTTGCATCCACACATCTGCGTTATCAATCACATTCGTAACATTCCAAACATGTGCGTCTCTTACGTCCTGTCCTGCGTTGGGGAAAAACACAGAAGTGGGCGGAGCTTTGATGCAGACGCCGGTAACAGCACTTTTACAGTCATAGAAGACACTCAGAGTAAAGACGTATCTTTACAAGCACTGACCCCGTCCTCAGCCCTGGTTTAGTCCTGGTTTAGTCCTGGTTTAGTCCTGGTTTGGTTGTTTTCGAGCGTGAGTCCCCGCGATCACTTTGCTGCTCTCTGATGTGGAGCGAGAATGTTCGCTGCTGCGAGTATCTCACAGCGAACAGTTTTTAAAGGCGCTATACATAGTTCCCACAGACCAATGAATGTCACATGACCTCCTCGGAGACGCCATCTTTGATGGCACGCTGCTGTGTTTGTGCATTCCATTAAACAGAAGAATGAGAATAAATGTAGATATTCAAACGCAAATTGGAAAAAAAGGGCAACTTTTGAGCAAATAATTGTATATTAATACAATGGCACCACAGTTTAACGTGCTACGGACATGTTTTACATATTTGATCAAATTATGCAGCAAAAATTAACAAGCAATGCAAACATTTCTCAAAAACTTTAGATTTAATACCAGTTGGAGCTCCATTTAATTATTTTAATTATATTAACAATTAATTTAATTAATGCTAATGCCACACGGACACTCTGGATTGCTGTTATTGTTTATTTCCGCGTTTTTGACCGTATGTTTTGGTGAATGGTGGGCAACTGATTTTTCCAGGCGTAAAGAGCAGTTTATTTTATGACACAGATCTTTTTACAGAAGCAATGCTGTTTGTGAACATTGTTTTAGCCCACCATAGAACTATTATTATCTATTTAATACATTTACGTTGCCCTCGAGAGCCTCGGACCCGACACCGATCCTCCTCATAATAAAGTAATCTAACGCTAAATAATGAAACTCTCAAGTTACCAGATATCAGCATACACAAGTTAGTACTGAGTAAATTACGTCTGTCAACACATTATGAGATACGATACGCACCTGACACAAAGTGCTCCGAGCATATTCTTGCGTGTTTTGAGGGAGTTTCTTGCCTGTTTATCTTCGCAAGCCATAACCTCCGTGGTTGTTCTGACAAAAGCTTAGTCTTCTCACATTCATGAAGTCTAATGATGGGTATACTGTAAAATCCAAGTTTAACGGAACCTCCGGCACGATTTGAACATCCATTGACCCAGCAGGAGATGACCATTTTCAACTTTATCACGACATTAACACGTTTCAGCTTCTTTTTCTATTGTTTTGCCCACAGAATGCCAAGACAAATGGCGCCGGGTCGGCAAATCCGCGTATGTAGTACCGTCATGTGGGAACTATGTATACCCGTTTCTGCAATGTTTGAATGTTTAGCACCGCCCCCAACTCGCTCAATGGCTTCTCATTTCCCCTAAGCTCTCATAACACAGAGCCACCTAGTTTTATTTGCGATCTGATACATATACTAACATTAGCATTAGCGCAACTTCTTGTAAGCTGTGCAACAATCACTGATGAAATGGCACTAAAGCAACGCACTGCTAACACAATATATAAGTAAAAGAATACCGCTAGTTTCGCGTCCGAATGTATTAATTTAAAACCTTAGAATATATTCTAATATTTAATTATAATTTGTTATAGAGCTCCTCAAAGCAGCAGCAGCAATTCTTCATTCTGCGCTGCACTGCGGCGACACGGACTGCAGAGCTGCTGCATTTTCGTCTGTCTATCGTGATCTAGATGTGTCAAGTGTCTGCTTTTTCGTATGTGATTAATGTTGGTGCAACTCTGAACAATGGCCAAATTTGAGAGGAATCTGTACATTGGATTACTGTGTTGGCTCATCACCGTAAACTTCTGTCAAACAACCACCCTATACGCCAACCAGGAAGTGCGGGTGTATGACAGAGAGACTCTACTAAGTCTTCGTAACTTCCCAACTTCAACCAAGCTTCTGATCGACTTACCAGAAGAAATTAAGGCCAATCTGGAGCATCACTCACGTTATGAAAGAAATAACAGTGGAGGAAAGCAGCGGAGATCAAGGAGGCGGGGCCGACGCGGAGGGGTGAGACAGCGGCTTTGGAGAAGGGGGAGTAGACCCCCACTGCCCTCAGTGATTCTGTTCAACGCACGCTCACTTAAAAATAAGATAGATGAGCTCAGGGTGCTCACCGGGACATGCTTTGAGTATCGTGAGTCCTGTCTGATGGTTGTCACAGAGACCTGGCTTCATCCTGACATCCCCAGCTCACTTGTGGAGCTGAATGGCTTTACGCTCGTGCGCGCAGACCGGAGCTATGAGTCTGGCAAAGTGCGCGGTGGTGGAGTCTGTATCTACATCAGGGATGTATGGTGCCGTCACTATACTGTCAAAGATGCCATCTGTGACCCGGACGTTGAGTACCTTTGTGTCACACTCAGACCTTTTTATCTCCCGAGAGAATTCGGGAATATAATCATCTGTGCTGTGTACGTGCCACCCAGTGGTAACGCAGGAAGAGCTGCAGCACAAGTGGCTGAGTGTGTGCACAGACAGTTACAACATACACCTGATGCTCCAGTACTGATCTTAGGGGACTTCAATCACTGCAAACTGGATTTTTCCCTACCTGGTTTTGAACAATATGTGAAATGCTTCACTAGGAAGGACAAAATACTAGATAAATGCTATGGAAATACTAAAAATGCATATACAGCAAAAGCTAAGCCACCCTTGTCCAACTCTGACCATAATACAGTACATCTTATTCCTACATATCACACTGTCCTTAAAAGGAGCAAACCCACAATAAAAACTGTTAAGGTTTGGACAAATGAAAGTATTGACACATTAAAAGGCTGTTACTTAAGTACAGATTGGGATGTGTTCCATGAGCCTGACCTAGATAAAACCACAGAAGTTATAACGTCATACATACATTTTTGTGTTGATGCTGTTATACCCACAAAGACAATGAAATTCTATCCAAACAACAAATCCTACATCACAAAAGATGTTAAGGATTGCATTCTACGTAAGAAGGCTGCATTTAGGAACAATGACCATGTAGAAATGAGATCCATACAACGGGAGCTAAAACAGAAGATCAATGATAAAAAACAACAATATAAGGACACAATTGAAAATAATTTCAGGAACGGGGACACAAGGAAGATGTGGGCCACCATGAAAACCATCACGAACATGACTCCCAGCAAGAAGCCCCTGTGTGCAACAGACGAAAGAAAAATGGCAAATGATTTGAATACTTTTTATTTGAGGCATGAGTCGCATGATTTTTCTGCTGATTGTCGTAGAACATTAATCAACTCAAGAGTCCAGGGAGCCTCAAAAATTGACATCAGTGCTGAGGAGGTCACAAAAATCTTTAAGATGTT